TGATGGCCATTTTGAATAAGCCAGTACAACTTTGGGGGCCTGGCAGTCAGGGAGCTGGGCAGATGGATAAACACGCCGTCATAGAAATTCGACGTTATGGCCAAATTGTACTAGAAATCCACTTGAGTTGCCGCATGCGACCAGAGATAGGCGTTCACAGTTTGCTCAGACAACATGGGTTTAATCAGGGGGACGACCCGTGAAGGGAAGGTTTGATATCTGCAAGCATGGCAATCAGAGCTTAGGCGCTCTGCTCAGTGAGGCGGCAGTGTATGTGCTTCTAGGGCTTTGAGAAATAGAGCCTGGATTGAAATGCACACTGGGACTGGAACTGAGTGAAATCACTCAACCAGAAAGATAAGGCTGATCAAAAGAAAGGGGTCGGGGTGAATAGCAATTGTGATGAGGTCACACTAGATTTGCCACAAAAGGGCACACATTTCTGACGAGTGGAATGTAAACAAGTGGGAAGTTGTGATAGGGCGAGAGTTGGATAAGATGGTAAAGAGTAGATAGATAGGCCAGGACAGAAAGAGGAGTGATAGTGTAACCATTTTCGGCGGAACGTTTGTCGAGGGATTGAATTCACTTGTTTATTTGACGAATTCCTAGCATAACTCGCTGATGATGCCGACTAGGATGCCGGTGAAAAGTTTGATAATGTACCAAGTCCACTGTCTGATGCTTGGAATCATGACAACTACAATGGCAGATCACTTCGGACTAGGCGCGTACTACCCACTCACCTTGACAACAAGACCAAGTTGCGACAACGAGGTCAACCCCTTTTCATAAATTCAAAGGAGACTGCGACCATACCAGAGGCCACAACATCTTGGTCTTCATATATTCCGATTATTACAATTCAAATAAAATCGTGAGTCAAGATAGTTCTATTCTTCATTTCCTGAAGTCCAAAAACCTTTGGGTTGCGTCTGGACTTGAGACTATTTACGCACCCTTAATAACGCATATTTTAAGGTTTATTATTGGGTTGACTCTCATGCTATGTGAAAGTGTTTGATGAAAATTTCATAGGTCGATCTCACTATAAGACGTCGGCGGATTCCCTTGGTATGGTATAATTTGATGGTAATTGAGACTTTCTGGCTGACTCGGTATTGGAGACACCCTCCTTCGGTTCTGGCAGTATATCATATGCATGAGATGTCTTACCCTACCTAGATTTGGGGAATGAAGGACTAGTAGATGAATTTTACAAAAATCATGTAAAAGGGCCACAAGTTTCCACTGAAGCTCACATATCCTTGCTTTCCAAAATGTATACTCATTCAAATAAAAGTGGACTGCAATTTCGGCCTTATCTGAGATGGTCTTGTCAATATCTTCGGCGGGACTCGAACCGGGGTGGCGCGGAGTATGTTCTCGACAAGTTAGCCACTACTCCACACTGTCTAGAGTGATATTGTGTAACTGAGCAGAATTTACTTTCAAGGAAGCTTAGTTCTTCCCCATAACATATTTATGTGTGTGTGTGTATGTGTGTGTGGGATTGGGGGTTCGACGAATCAAAGTGTAATTTTGTATAAAATTGACAATATTGCTTGTTTTCAATTTCTAGATAGGTTTTCGGTTCCCATCCAGTCCTTCATCACCTTAAATACAATAGGATGAATTCAGTCCTTATGCTGAATTTTTGTCTGGCGTGCAATTTAGCAGACATAATCAAAGCTTGAGCACATTCTCATGACGAGCATGAACCTGCAAAAGTTACACTAACTATACATTTATATACATTAATTTCGCGAGGTATACAATACTGTGAACAAGTTATCTTCATAAATATTTTCATGCGTACGTTTATGAGCATAAGTACAGGGTAAAGACTCCAGTAAGTGTTTTGGGTAATGAGAGCAGGGCGTAATAAATGTAAAAAGCCATTTTTAAGTCGTAGAAACGCATAATTTAGAACGCAGTGAGTTTGTAAACTGTGGTAATAGATTTTTATTATGACTGGTTGGTACGCCCTCTCGTTTATACTGTGGGGTACAGTGAGCACAATTGTCTGTATGCATGACAGAAATTCGGGGCAAAATACAATTCTTTAAGGCCAATCATTTTTATTTACATGAAGAAACTCTGGGTTTCGAAGAATCCCTTTATGAGCAGGATTGCATCGTGTACAAAAGTCCTCGTTCCTTTTTTTCCGCGAACCCGATTAACATGTTCTGAGCTTTCGTCTGAACGATCGTGACAAAACAATATTCCCTACTTTGCAAAGTAACGCAAAGAATACAAGAACAAGTAGCCGACTGTAACCCTAATCACTTCCTATACAATCCTGCGATCTTAATGAGGCCTCCCACGATCCTCTAATTATTACTCATGTTTTGGTATGTGCTATTGGCTATTGTCTGCATGTCATGAGACATGTGACAGTCCTAGCCAGACTCAAGGCTTCTTCTCTCCGTCCCCCTAAGCCTATCTAACAGCCACAACGAATTCCTACTCGTCTGTTTACACTTGTTTCTCCTATTACAGGAAGTTGGCTGTTGATTTCTATAGACTCTCTAATCGTATGTTTTGATGCAAGTCCCCATAAGCAGCAAAACGTTGTGTTTTTGATCAGTCCATTGCATGTTATGCATTTGTCATATTTTTAGCGAGCTGGGATTTTTGGACCCATAGACTTAAACAAGCTGTTTTACATTCTGATGATCTCTTCAGGAGGGGTCGGCTGTGCACAGAACCTTGTAGCAGGCTGATCTAAAAAGAGGATAAAATAATTCTCGAAAAGAAGGCACGACTAAAGAAAACGTTAATTTCGCCTAATACAATGTTATGAAGTTCCATTTCCTCAGTAGGCCACCTAATTTTTTTGAAAGCTGACGAGAAGGCAAAATAGGGAACCGAGTAGAATGGTTTATCTCTCTATCCTGCTCTAAGTAACAATCTACTTTCATCCTGTTACTGACTATTGAAATGTAATTATCTTTTATTCTTAATCGGTAATTAGTTTGAAATAGTATATCCCTCAATCTAGCGATTTTCTGGTTCTTTTAGCATACGTCTGCTAGACGCAAACTCACTACTATCAACAATTCGATAACTCCTACTTTAACTTCAATAGATAAGAAGTTACCGAAGAAATTTCCTCATTAAGAAGATAATATAACCTTATTTGCTCGCTAATACATCGAGAAATGGCAGCTTATGCTACTTTTATAACTCCATAGTAAAGTTACTAATATAACTTAATCTATTTATTAGCTAAAGGAATTCTTCCTGTCTATCTCTGCCGCGTTGTAAAGCGGCAAAGTACTCTTCCAGATAAGTAACGAATAACCTTGAAACAAATAGACATCCAATTAAACATGTAGTTTATTGTTAAAATAGGGGCTAGACAACATCCCACAGCCAAGCCCCGTATTGGCCTATATAACTTGCTGTTGAGGCCAAAATATGAGCTATTCGTGGCCAGGTTGATTGAATCTCTGCCTAACTTTTAACCTCTTATGACCTTAGAAGGTTGTACTGTGGTTAATTTTAAAGGATTTATTAGTGAAGATAGACACTACATACAAAAATACCAGCAAATCTCTTCCTTCCATCGTCTGATCGTCTACCCACTTCATAAGGTCATAAGGATTCCTTATTCCAAAAATTCCTAATTTCGGCGATTTGCCTTAGCTGGGTATAGTTAAATCATGATGTTTTATGCATCCCACCACCTCTACCATTCACAATGCTCCTACATGGGGTATCTTCTTTATACATTTTGGGCAGACGATATGCATTTAGGGGTCCGTAGAAGTGTGTTCATATTCCACCTTCCAAGTTCTCTGTTGTTTATGCATTTTTGTAAAGAACCCTTAAGTCTAGCTTAAAGGCCTTCTGCCACTTCCTCACCATAGTCATGTATGTTTCTCAATCTTCGTATGCCTTTAATAGTTTCCCTACATAGTCAGACTAAGCCATTACTAATAATTAGTATCTTTCTTTGAGTTCACATTGACTAGCACCTGCAGGCATACAGTGTAGGCT